AAAAAAAAAACCAAACAACTTAAAGAACTGCCTACAAGAAAATAAAAGCATACAAGAAAATGACTTTAGCTTTTTGTCATTTGAAGAGGCATTTAAAAATATTTTTTAATTAATAATAATTTAAAAAATAATTAATAATAATAATAATGATAATAATAATTATACATTCCCATCTCGCACCTTTTAGCCAGATTGAAACAAGCAAATCCTCCATGGAAATGAATTAAAATCAGAAGTGAGAGATATACAAGATAATAATAGTGTTTAATAATAAAATTCAAAGTTGTAGAAAATTGAACTATTAACTGTACTTTAATAAATGTATTTAGTTGCTTTCCACCTGCTTCATGGATAAAGTGTTTTTACCCGCCCAGTAGCGGTGATGACGATTGAGGAGGACAGTCCTGAAAAATGACGTTTCCCCACCTCGCCACTAGATGGCGGAAGCACAAAGTTTGCTGAATGGGCGTGCTCTATTGGAGCCACTGAGCTGCAGCCTTATTATTCACTAACCGCATCATTTCGTATCCAACGAGAGAAAACGTCACCTGGGATGAAAACTCATTAATCTGAACGGCCAATTATTCATCGCTTTTCACTCTACTCCACCTAAACCACGTCGTTTGTACACTAATCGGTGAGTGTGTCGTCATATTTTCTCTGTATCCACATTCATCGACTGTAAACACAGATGTAGCTGAAATTGTTTGAGTTAAGCTAACAGATAAACAGCCTGCACTTCATATTTGTTTTGCTGCACATATTTTAAAATCTTGATCTCTCTGTTGATCTTGTCTGTGAGCTTCGGGGTTTTGCGTTTGTTGCAGCTTTTCTTGGGCTTTTTACTGCGCAATGTTTACGCTAATTAGATTTTTTCCGCTGGTCTGCTGCTCATCTGTCTGGCCACCACCATCACATCCACTCCTTTTCTTCTGGGAGTGAGCTGATCATTGTGATTTCTGATGCTTGCATATTTAGCCTCTGAAAAGAAACTAATAAAATATTTAAAGTATTTTTAAAATTATATTTCGTATAATAACTCTTCACGATTCCGGCCTTATGCGTTTGTTGATGGATTTCCTAAACAAGTCCTTTATAAAAGTGTTTTTGTTAAATAATAAATAAATAATAAATATTCTTTCATTTTTGTTGGTTTTTTAGTCTGAAGAGGATCAGCAAACATGTTCTACACCTGTGGTCCCAACGAGGCTATGGTGGTATCAGGTAAAATGATGCCTTGTACTGCTTTGTTGAAATCTAAACAACTGAAGAAACTATAACATCAAACTAATACATAACTGTTGCCTTTCATTAATTAACGCACTTGTGATGGCTGTCACATCAAGGCAAACAAAATGTTCCAAAACCTTTAGGTGGTGCCCTAGACTTCTCTGAAGGAGAGGGAAAAAAATGCAGATTTTTAATGGGTCTGTAGTTCTGAACACAAGCATAAACCAGAACTTGATTTGTGATGGAAGTTTGTTGAATTTGTTTTTATCATGAAGTAGTAAATGTTTAAACTGTCCCTGTGATGCTCAGCGCGGTCTCTGATCTCTCCCAGGTTTCTGCCGTTCTCCACCTCTCATGATAGCCGGAGGCCGAGTGTTCATCATCCCCTGTGTTCAGCAGATACAAAGGTAAACAAACCACAAAGTTTATTTATGTTCTCCAGTATCCTATTAGTTTACTTCCTGATGTTTCTGCAAACACTGTTGACATTTGGCCGATATATTTTATATTTTACGTGACAAATTGAATAACATGATGAGAAGCACTTCAGCAGCAAAAATAGATAAAAAGGGGGAAAAAAAGATTAACAAGTTAATTTTAAATTAAATTTATAGTAATGAAGGATTTCTTTGGGGGACACATTTAAAGCACAGGGCATATACATCTGTGTCATTAGTAATAAATATGTGTAAAGCATCCAGCTGCTGTTCATAAACTGTTACTTTTTAAGTCCTTTCTCTCCGTCTTCCTGTTGAATTTAAGACATTAGCTTCCACACAGGCCACATTTGGGTCTAGTACCAACATAAAAAAAAAAAAAAAAAATCCCTTTTATTATATACACCAGCGGTCCCCAACCCCCGAGCCTCGGACTGGTACCAGTCCGTGAGTTGTTTGGTAACGGGCCGCGAGAGTTGAGGCTCAGGTGTGAAATGTATGTTTTTCAGGGTTTTTATCAGTTTTCAGCGTTATTTTGTTATCGTTTTGATCATTAACTCTGTTTTCCTGGGTCTTTTCACGTGTGTTATGAATAAATCTTCTTTTTTTCGGTACCGGTACTAGTTTTATTTTGTTGTATTTATCCGCGACACATTAAAGGCCGGTCCGTGAAAAATATTGTC